GAATGCAACACGATTATGTAGTAATCAGTCATTAGCGAACGTTGTAGTTCATTATTAATAATTATGTATAACAGGATATTGTAAAAATCAAGCTACGAAAGTTTTATTAAAATGTTCCTTACATACCGTTATATTGGCTGGGCTGCATGCGGGCTTGCTTTACAGTCTTCCTTTCCAGAGTCTGTTTATTTAACCCGCTCTGAGCTTAACCTGCTTCCTAGCCACACCCACAGCGGGTGTACACAGGGTCCTGCCACACCCCCTCCCCGCAGAGTGTTCTGGCTTCGAGGGAAGAATCCACTGTTCCATCAGGTGCCTGAGTGTCTGCACGAAGCTGGACGCATGACAAAGCAACACGAACTGGCATCCATGGCCTGGAGGAGGGCATGCTAGGAAGTCTCAGAAGGTTTAACACATTTTGTCCAAAAATGTGGCTCTAAAGAAAGGTCAATCCCAGAGAACAATCATTTATTTACTCATCAGATATTTATTGAGCACCTTTCATGTGCCAAGCACTGAGCCAGGGGCTGAAGATACAACAATGAGCAGGGTTAGTCCCACTCCTGCTGCGGTTGCTGCTGGTACCCACCACATGTCTGGCCAGTTGCTAAGGCTAGTGGCTCTCCTGATGAGGCCACCGGGTGTCTGCTCTGATTGGTCAGGCCCGTGCCACAATGATGGTCACCCTTTCTGCTAAAGCAGTGGTTCTCAACCTTCCTAATGCCGGGACCCTTTAATACAGTTCCTCATGTTGTGGTGACCCCCAAACCGTAAAATTATTTTCGTTGCTACTTCATAACTGTAATTTTGCTACTGTTATGAATCGTAATGTAAATATCTGATATGCAGGATGTATTTTCATTGTTACAAATTGAACATAATTAAAGCATAGTGATTAATCACAAAAACAATATGTAATTATATATTCAATATGTGTTTTCCGATAGTCTTAGGCGACCCCTGTGAAAGGGTCGTTCGACCCCCCAAAGGGGTTGCGACCCACAGGTTGAGAACCGCTGTGCTAAAGGAATTCCCCAGCAGCTACAAACTTATACCAGGGCTCCTCCTGCTGGACATTTTTTACAATTGCACTTCTGATTCAGTTAATGTCCCAAACTTGATTCATTCAATATTGATTACATTATTTTTGCTTTTAGGCAATTAACTAATATATAAAAGGATAAATTTATTTTTTAAGAAAATGAGTAATACCAAACTAAACACAGTAGTAATGAGAGTCTCCTTTTACCTTTTCCAGTTCTCCCTTCCCTAGAAGTTAGCAATTTGGAGTTTACCTTCTCAGACCTATTTCTATCATTTACACCCATTATTATGCACAGATAGAAACATGGTTTTGTCTTCATTTGTTTTATATGCCTGGGTCCATGTTCTCTGAGCCTCAGCATCATTGGGGGTCAAATTGCCCACCTGGCAAGAATTTGTGGTAGGAATGAAACAGGTGAAGACTCCTGAGTGCTGGACTGGAGGCTTGACACGTCCAAAGCACTCGGAAAGCCCTGAGGGCAGTGAGAAGAGCCACCCTCATTCACCTTACACATCCTGCAGCAAGGGAGGTAAACTGAAGCACTTCTGCCGGAGTGGCACCAGTTTCCTATTTCAGGAGCAGCAGTGTAGAGTGCAATGGGTGTTGCGAAGAGGAGTTTTGCATGATCTGTATCCATATAAAGTTCACAGTCTGCAGGTTGTAATTTTAGATACTGAAGTCAAGGTAATCTCATAGAGGAGAGGCATGAACGAATACAGAAGTGAGGCAGCCACATGGAGAGCTTGGGAAGGACTTCTAGGGAGAGGACACAGCGAGGGCTAAGTCCTGAGGTGGGGATGTGCCTGGCATGTTCCAGGAGTCCACTGTGGCTGGGGCTCAGTGAGAGCAGGGGAGTAAGGAGAGAAATCAGAGAAGGGAGGCGGGAGGTGGGGTGGAGGGGGCCTGTTTGGCTCTCACTCTGAGCGACATGAGAGCCATGGCAGGATTGTGAGCACGTGCATGAGATGACTCACTTTTTAAAGGACTATTCTCTATGCTTCATGTATGTTTGAAAATTTCCCTATTGAAAACTAAAAAGTTAATTCTAGTATCTAGGTTTCAAAGAGGCCAGGGTTCATGGCCATAATCCAGGTGACAGATGACAGCCACTTAAAACAGGCTGGTCACAGTAGATGACTGCATACTTCAGCAATTTTGTAAGTTGGACCTGCAGGATTTTCTGGAGAGGGGTGAGAGAAGAAAAGGAGTGAAGGGTGGCTCAAGGTTTTTGCAAGGGGCATTTGGAGGTTTTTGGAAGGGTGGGCATTATTATAAATTGAGACAGGAAGACTATGGGTAGACCAAGTTTAAGGGTGATAGTTTCCTATTGTTGCCCTAATAAATTTAGTGGCTCAAAACAACACAAATTTCCTCTCCTACAGCTCTGGAGGCCAGACGTCAGGAACCAGTTTCACCCGGTGTCAGTGGGGCTGGCTCCTTCCTGGGGACCTCCTGAGGGAAGAATCTGAGTCCTTGATTTTTATCTTCAAAGTGCATCACTTAATTTCTCTTCCACTATCACCTGCTTTCTCCTCTTCCATGTCAATGTCCCTCTGCCTCCATCTTAAAAGGAAACTTATAATTACATTTAGGGCTCACCTGGGTAATACAGGATAAGCCCTGATCTCAAGACACTTAATCCCATCGGCAAAGCCTCATCTATAAATAGAAGGTAAAATTCACTGGTTTCAGGAATTGGGCACTGATATCTTGGATGTCATGGCTCAGCCTATCACCGTGGGTATATTCAGGAGTTCAGTTTGGGGTGTGTTGAGTTTGAAGTATCTATGCAGCATCCAAGGGGGACTATTGAGTAGACTGTTGAATATACAAGTGTGGAGTTCAGTGGAAGGCCTGAACTACATGTATTCATTTTGGAGTCACAAGCATATTGATGAAATTGAAAGCCATGAGACTGAATTTAACACAGATACTCAATTTCCCAAACTCCCTTGCAGGTAAAAGCCAAAACATGTGACCAAAACTCTACCAACTAGATATCCCCACATCTGGGTACATCTGTATATATGTGAACACAGTGGATTAAAACAACAGGTGCCACTCGGGGTCCATTCTAGCCTCAGCAGTACCCAAGGCAACAGCTTTCCAAGGCAGAAATTCTAGAAGAAGCACCCAGGTGTGAGCAACACAAGTACTCTGAGATCCCACACAGGCTGCAGTGAGGTCTTCCCTGGGGCAGTTCTGGGTGAAACTTTGGTGTGACCACCAGTCCTGCCTCTCTGGCTCTCTCAGAAAGATTCTGTGAGTGACCTAAAACCCTTTACTATATATATCCCATCTCCCCTCAACTACCTGGGCTGATGTGTGATACCTGCAATTCAGAATTTCAACCAATGAGCTCCCTACTTGAACTTTAAGAACTAGAATGCTGCACCCATCCCAGGCTCTGGGAGTCTTCCTAGTGTCCTGTCTAGAAAGGACATCGGGAGCTTCTATACACATTGATTTATTCAATCTTCCCAATAACTCAGAGACGTTTTCCACTAGTTTTAGTTTTGTGGGTGAGGTCATCGAATTCCTACTGCAGTGCTTTTACTCTACCTGAAGGGTCAGTGTGGCCAGATGGGCAGAAAGCTGTCTTTAGGGAAGTGGATCAAAGCTATCCTGCAATGGAGCACCTGGAAGGCCAGGCTAGCAGTTTGGACTTGCTGGTAGGGGACCTTGATGGTCTTGAAGCAGTGGGAATGAGACGGTGGGTTTCTTTATCAGGTGAAGAAAGTCAGGTCCATCTCCTATGAGTAGACTCCAAAATAATGCATGTCAAATTCATAGGACTTCAGCTCACCAGCCATCCCTGGGTATTAGCTCCAAGGACATATGCCAGAGTGGACTCTGGAAACCTCAGACTTGCTTCAGACCAGCGGTCACCAATCCGTGGTCCGTGAGGTCCGGAAAGTTGGTGACCACAGAAGCATATCAGAAACTACCCTCACTGGTTCATATTCAGGTTTGGTTATTGTGGAAATGACCCCAGATCTCCATGGCTTAGACAAGACAGATGTTCATTTCTCTCTCAGTAACTGTCCAGGTGGCTCCAGCCCCATCCAGGGCACGTGCCCCTTTGGAGATGGCTCAGCACCACATCTTCTGGGTCCATAGGCCCACCAGGAGGAAAGGGCTCCCTTTCCCTTCCTTTCTAGTGCTTCACTCAGGAACCACACACATCACGCAGCCACAGTGAAAGGGAGGCTAGGAAGGACACTTGTTTTTCTTGGCAGCCATGAACCTGACCAAAAATGCAAAAGTTCTGCTACTAAATGAAGGGGAGAAGAGCTGTATGGGCTGATGAGCATTTTCTATCTTTCTGTCTGATGGACTAGTTAAAAGGATGAAGGAAACATTCTATGCAAGGCACATAGCACAATGCCTGGCACACCGCTGATGTCCAGCCCTGATTAGTTCTCCTCCCCTTGTGAATGGACAAATGGATCCAGCAGACATTCATGGAGCACCTACTATGTGCAACTGTTATGAGACACACAGAGAGGACGTTGATGCGATATCCAAGTCAAGAGAAGAAGACGGATGGTGTGGAATGTAATGTAACGAGGCTAGAAAGCGGAAGTACTGTCTTCAAGCTAAGTACAAAGTCCTTGGAGCACAGAGAAGGGCGCTCTTCCATCTACCTGTAGACTCACAAAAGCCCTGTAGAGAGGGGCATTTGGAGTTGGGTCCTCAAAGGTAAGTATGATTTTAGCAGATGGAAAGAAATGAAAGGGAAAGCTTCCTGCCAACACAAATGAAAATGACAATAAAGCACTATGTTTTACCTGTAAGTCTACCGAGAATTAGGTACAGGTACAGATTCAGATATAGATAATCCCCATGTTTTGTGCCAGCCTCAGCTTCCCAATATCCAGCACTGTGGCTGTGCCAACCCTTGTGGTTCTTCTCATGGTTGCAAAATGCCCTTTAGCAATAACCATCACAGAACTTTGAGGGGGGAAAGTTTATTACTTATAGGACCTGGAAATTACCCCGCATACCTGGGACACACAGTGAAGTTGTGGGTAGAGCGAGAACACACACAGGTATGGGGTTCTGCTTTTACTCCGGTCATGGGTGAAGGCCTAGGGTTTTGGGGACTCAGTCTTTACTGGTGAATTTAAAACTTAAGAGAGGGGATTTAAAGCGAGGGCAAGTAGAAAAAACAGTGGCCTGAATGAGCAGTTATTGAATCAACCAAGATCTCTAAAACTCAGTGAACTCAAAGGGGGCTGGGCGCTGGCTCTTCAGTCCTGTGGCTGGTGGCTTGTCCACTGGAAATAGCCATTGTGGAAGTGGATGTTTCAGCAATCAAAGCATAATCAGGCACTGAGCTACAAAAAAAGAAAAAAGAAAAGTCAGGATTCAAACTACTACCCAATGGTGGCAATGGGGGTGGGGGGAAGGGGCATCCACCTTATACTTTGGTGGGTAAGGGAATTGGATGGCTAGGAATAGAGGAAGGAAAATTGTTCTCTTTCTCAACTTTTTATACTATGAATTTCATCCCATGCATATGTGTTACCTTTCCCCAAAAAATGTATGTAATTTTATAACATATTAGGAATAAGAAATCATTTTAAAAGGTCCTCCTAGAATTTCTGTTGCACCGGGGCAGGCTCAGCTCTGCAGCGCATGGTGGGAGTTAGGCTCAGCTGGGTCATGCCTGCACCAGGCCAAGGAAATGCAAACCTGACTCTGCAGTCGGCATTTAGCAACTCATATTGCAATTCATCCGTGTTCTATAGAGTAAGGACTGGGTATCCCGGGGGAAGCAATGAGGTCGAGTGAGGACATTTACTTACGAAGTTAAGGCACAGTCAGGATGCGTGCTGTGGTCCACACACATTAAGAGCTTCACCGGCCTATAGAATGAAAAGATTTAAGGGATTCGTTTTTGTTTGTTTGTTTAATTCCTTTTATTGCTTGAAGTATTACATGAGTCTCCTTTTTCCCCCATTGACCTCTCCCTGGCAAGGGATTGTTTAAATGGCTTTCATTCATCAAACGTTTGTGGTGTTCCTGCAAAATCCCAGGGACATAAAGTCTCTGATCTGTGAAGAACACAGTTTCTTTTAAAAAATATTAGCCAGCATTATGTACCGAGAATTACATATATTAATTACATCAATTATATCATTGATCCTCACAATAACGACATAGAACTGGTACTATTATCATCTCCAGTTTACAGTGGAGAAAGCTGTCCACAGGACTTGCCCACGTGCTCACAGTAGCAAGTCGGGCTCACTCTGGGACCCAAGCATGGATTCACTTCTGCATGGATGTACTATTTTACTGGGGAAAAACCCTCAATGAGGGCAGAAGGTTGGACTTGAAGCACATAGATGATGGCTGTTGTCCAGGCTTCAGCAAAGCAAGCTAAACTATGGACCATGAAAGGGGAAGATGTTGGGTCCCCGGGCAGCTGGGAGGGGAGGGAAACAGCAGACAACAGAGGAGCAAGGCAGAGGTGGCACACTGGACATTAGATAGGAGGCAGCCCCAAGAGAGGCTCTCTCATGGCAGGGTGACTGGAGGGGACTTCGGGTGAACAGGAAATACATTGTTCACTCCATGACATGCTACCTGACCCCTCCGGAGGACATGCCCACTTTTCAGTAAAGTCTATAAAACACAGCTATTTTTTTATAAAGTAGTTATTGTGTTGTGCCCTCCAAAACTCATGAAGTTGTACTAAGTCTGGTTCAGTGCAGTGCTAAGCAGAAACCAACCAGGAGGCAAGACGGGGTATGCAAAGATAAGACCTCATCAAAATTTGCAAGAGACTACATCACCCACATTTTGAGGGGCAGGAGTTCTCATGTACAAGGAGCTTAGAGTTTGATTCGTTAATCTCTGTCATTTAAACTTTCTGTTACCTCCTCTATGCTCCCAGGAGCAACACAAAGACCACCTGAACACTGACCGAGCTCATGCGCAGTAAAGAAATGGGAGCTGGGCCGGGCTTCAAGGCTACAGCCCGAGGCCAGCTTAGGTGGGGACCTAAAAGGGGAAATAAAAACAGGCTGAGACCCTGAGGGCACCTGTGAGCCAGGAAGGAGAACTTGGACTCTGGCTGGGCCTCCCACCTGGATCAATGACTTAAAAATAAGACAGCCTCCTCGGGACGTTCCTGAACCAAAGCAAAGCGGCCATGAATGTGAAATTTTTAGCCACAATTTTCTCCACCCTTGAGCTGTTTTAAAGTAAGAAATAACTTTTACAAAATTTACTAAAATTTGGTGCATGAAGAAAGAAGAGTCCTACAGTAGGAAGAAAGGAAGAGCACGCTTCAAGGCCACACAATGCTGGGTTCAAAACTCAGGTCTGTCTGCCACTGAACGGTGACCTTGGGAAACTTACCTAACCTCTCTGATCCTTACTCTGCACATCCATAAAATGGGGCTATTTATATAAAGCTTTAAAACAGACAAAACCAACCCATGACCTTGCTCGTTTAGAGAGATACTGAAAGGGAAGCCAGGGAAGGCACTGGGGTCCCAGTTTCATTCTGTTTCTTGATCTGAGTGTTGGTTACACGTGTATGTTGAACTTGTGAAAATTCATTCAACTGGATGCCTATGGTTTGTGCATTTTTCTGTACATAGGTTATATTTCTTTTAAAAAAGTATTAGCTTTCACATGCCTTTGGGTGGTAACAACAGCTGACTGCTGAGCTTACTGAAAGCATTAACAACAATAGATGAATAAAATGGACAACTTTGAGCTGTGGGTTTAAGAGAACAGCTTTGAGGGACTTGTTTTCCTGGGGAGGCAGGAGTTGGGGGAGACCCACACTTCCAGGGGCTTCGGTCGAACGGGAAGATTACCCAGCCCCTGGCGTCCTTGAGAAGGCGGAGGGTGGCAGAGCCAGCTGGACTGCTGTGGGCGCTGGAGGAGAGGCAGAGGTAACTGGCACCCTGCCTCACCCTCAGACTTTGGGGAGAGCCGCTAAGCCTTGAAGTGCTGGACTCCAGTCTCCAGGAACCAAGCAGGGAGCAGACATAGGTGAGGAATTCCCAGTTGAAGGCAGGGCTTCCCACTCTCCCAGGCTTTGAGACAAACTCATCTACATTTCCAAGAATCAGGAATGCCCGCAAACGATATCTGATTTTAAGTTCATAAAGTTCCTGGCCCACAATGCGCTCACTCAACGGTAGCTAGTACTATTTTCCTATTGGCCTACAGTCAAGATGTACCTGCCTGCAAGTATCTCAGACAAACTCCACCTTAGCACCTCTCATGGGGAAGGACCCCACAGGCGTGTGGCACTCAAAGGTGCAGGCACCATGCTTCCTGTTCACAGGTTACTCACTGTGCCCTTCACCTGTGGATTCAAACTGGATATGCGCAAATGAGAAAGGGCTGCTCCCTCTGTCCTTCCATGATTAAAAAGGGCTCTGGACCGAAGTGGGTGGAGCCAGGCAGAACCCTGGCCAGAAGGCACCTACCTTCCCCCCACCCAGTGACAACCCAAAAGGCACGGCCCCTTGGTCTTCAGAGCTGATGCCCCTAAAACCCTTTCAACAACCCCCTACCCTCCAAAACCACCGATTATCTGCACTGATGATAATATGACACGTACAGGTGATCATTAGTACAGCTGTACTGAAAACCCATCCCCTTCAGTCTGTCTTCCAGGATTTTCACACTGCCTTCTCCACAGGATTCCCTAAAACACAAACACAGAAATACAAAATAAGAGGATGGAAGGAGTCTTTTCTAGATTAATTAAAATGTATTTTGGCCATGTGCTTCTGGGATAGTCTCCTCTGCTGGAGAAATATTTGGACCCAAAAGTGCTGCTTGCAGTAACCCCTCAGTACCCCAAAGGGGCTGCTCTGAGCACTCAACACCCAGTCCAAAGGTTGCATGTCAAGTGCCCCAGGAGGGCCTTGCAGGCTCATGCGCAGGTGCCAGGCGCATCACAGGGTTTCTTGGCCCCACCCACCAACAGTCCTCTGTGAAGTGCCCCTGACCAGTGCCAACTGTCAATTGTCCTACCTACAGTGTATTAAGTTAAGCTTTATATGACAACAAAACATGCAATTCAAAAAACATTAGAAAGTGCAAATAAACAAAAGGGAAAAAAAAACAAACAAATCTTACATCACCAGAGGTAACTGCTGCTAATATTTTGATGTATGCCATTCTAGACCTTTTAAATATACTTATTCCCATGAGATTTGAAATATAACAGTGTAGTTCTGCTGTCCGTGCATTTCGTTTTCTGCATTTGCCCTTGTCTGTGGACATACATACATGCCTGCCCTTGTTTTTAATTCCTATGTACTCTCCCTTCCATAATTGGAACATAATCCCTAAAACCAGACACCTCTTAAAGATCAAGTTCATTCGTATATTTCAATCTCATGCATACTACAACAAACCTTGATAAAGCTTCATTTTTATACACATCCTTCATTATCTGTTTCCTTAGCATCAAGTCCTGAAAGTAGGTTTTCTGGTACCAAGCTTTTGAATGCATTTTAAGGCTCTTGATAGGCACCACCACACTGAACCCCAAGCTGATCACCCCAGCAGAGTATGAGGTGTCCATTTCCCCACTTTTTCATCAACAGGGGTTCTTGCTGCCCCCCGTTTGTGATTAAGCAGGGGGTGGGGTGTATAAAGGCAAATAGGTGTGGTCAACAGACATGGTATTCATATTCATACCAAAGGCAGGGCCTTGCCTCACTTTACTGGGAACACAATAGCTCAGTTGGTTAGAGCATCATCCTGATACACCAAGGCTGCAGGTTTGATCCCTGGTAAGGGCACATATAAGAATTAACCGATGAATGCCTAAGTGCAACAGATCTCTCTCTCTTTCTCTCTCCCTCTCTCTCTCTCTCTCTCTCTCTGTTCCTTCCTCTCTCTAAAATCAATCAATAAAAAAATTTAAAAAAGAGAATATTGTTTTCCCAAAAATGAAAGTGCAAAACAGACAAGCATATCCCCTCTGGGAAAAGCAGGTTTGCAGGATTACCCTCCACAAGAGCACCATAGCTTACAGGTTGGGTCCCCCGATTTCATGCATAATCCAGATCTCAATTCGTGTGATTTTATCCTTCTGGAGGTAGGGAATTTCAAAATCTGCAAAAAACCTGAAAAACAGGAAAGACATTTCTCAAAGTCCTAAAGCAATATGATACTTTTGCCATTTCAATGTTAGCTGAGCTACACAATACTTTTTTTTTTCACATCTTTGGGGGCTATTTTTTAGCTTTAACTTTTTAGGTTACTTATTTCATTCATGCATTCATCATCTGTTAATGGTGTAACTGGATAAACATACTAGTATATCTGATCTCCAGGTCTTTCACTGGTTTTGCTTAGGTTGGGGATTAGGACCATTCTCATAAGCCTCCTTCCAAAACAACTAGATAAACATTTTGGCATCTCTACTGTATTGGTTGGTGCTGACGTTCT